CGATATCGGTGAGTTGGGGTGGGCGTGTCACCGGAAGTGACGTGCACTTGATAGAAGCTATGTGGATAAGCTGCTTCCAACATACATCGCTGGATATCAGCAAAGCATGCTGGCAACAGCTTATCCACGCAACTTCTATCAAGTGCACGTCACTTCCGGTGACACGCCTACCCCAACTTTCGGATATCGACTGTACTTAAAGAGGGTGGTAAATTTCCTAGCGCGACGGGCCACCGGTTAACTGCGATTGAGAACTTGAATTTTACGTGCAATGATGATAGTCGAAGTGTTCGCCTCCCTGACGTTCGCTTGGTTAGAGCAAAATTGGGCTCAGGTCTACTATCAGAGCCATGGGCGGTGCCGGCGCAGACCACATATTCAGTACCTTTCACCTTGAAATATTTTTCTTTTCATGGCTTCAAAATCATAAATTTGCGTGAAGTAGTGCACTGCCTAGTACAAAAATACAACAGGAAATCACGTACTTGAAATCCGTTGGTCCACTGCAATCAAACTGAAAACGCCAAGCATTTTCGGCTTGTGACTGAGGCCTCAACACAACGGCACTGAAGAATTTCCGAAGTAAGGCGACGAAGCCGACGAAAAGCGGCTAGAAAAAGCACAATTAATACGAACGATTCACTGTAAGCGTGAGAGATCGCTCAGACAACACAAGAAAATGGTACTTTCAAAAGAAAATAACATGGTGCTCTTAAAATAATTTCCACACTCTACTTACGCTAAGTTTTCACAAATGAATACCTTTGGCAGTTTCCCGTAACGTCTCGTATCCATCCTGGGCAGTACACGCCCTGTAAATTCCACGTATTCCGATGTTGAGCGGAATGGTGACTGAGGAAGGACGGAAGCATCGTTAAAAAGCAGGACATGGAGCGAATGTAACGCTTCGACCTGATCGGAACTTTGCACGGAGCCTGGCCTGGAATTTCCAGCTCATCTTTCAATGAAGGAAAGTACCCTGGAAATTACATACCGCTTCTGTCTGACAAAATCGACGGCCTCACGTGGGGTCATTCCACGAAGTAACATCATGCATGCAGCTATCACCATACCCGTTCTTCCATGACCTGCATGACAGTGAACAGCGACCTTTCCTATAATGCAAGCTGGTTATTCAAGTGATTGGATATCTTAAAGCAAAACCCTCAGATCAAATTTGTGGGGTCACAGCGGTCGATAATGGAGATGTGGATGCCGAGTTGATTGCAAATGAAAAAAAAGAAGCAAAGAAAACGTCGATGAAGCTTTGAAGAAGGATACCTCTCACAAAAAAAGAAGGGGCGGGGCTGGACGAGTTGTGCGCGGCTGCTTGCTCCACGCTCCGCGGTTTATCCATGTTGCGTGCAAACGAAGTAGACACGAGCGCTAATATCTATACGATAAGGAACAGTGGCCGTAGGGTGATTATTGTCAAAGCCCTGGCGCCATTGGGCGCCACACTTTCGTGACGCGGCTACCGGCCACATTAGCTCTTTTGAGCTTACTTCGTAGATTCCCACCCACTGAATAGACACGACTTCCCCTGAGGGTGTTGTTTTGGGTCATATCACCATTAACACGATATAAGGGCGGATTTTGTAGAGGAAAGTGCTTCTTCAGGAACAAAGACCTCAAATACTTAAGTTGCAACTCAATAAAGGTGTGCGCCGAGTAGAGGGTCCCAGGATCGTTTTTGAGATGGGAACTGCGGAACTCTCAGCGTTACAAAAAAGTAAGTTTGAAAGCATTTGTTGAGAGGAATAATCTGTTACAGATTTGAGAAACATTACGAAATTAGCTTACCTCTAGTCAGTTCGTAAATCATAACAGTCACAATATCCACAAGCCGTGCCGGAGTACAAGCTTCGAAATCGGGAAGAGGGAAGTTGTAGTAGAATACTGAAACCTATTGTGCTTTACAACCATAAGTGTCAATGAATTATAGGTAATAATTAAAACAAATTTGGAAGGATTGAGAATAGAAGCACGGGTATTAGATGGTACACATTGGTAAAAAGCAAAGAAACCATGGGTAACCCGCGGATTGGGACCGCTCTTGGGTCCTCAGATTACGGACGAGTTTGCCGCTCAAAAGTGAATATTTGTGTAAGGACACCACGAAGGAATAGCCAGCGCGACAAGGTTTCAAGATACGGCTTTCTGATACCAATTGCAACTTCAGGCAGTAGTTATGGCGGTATTGCACTTGTAGGCGGGGTGGTTTTGGGTCTGGTGCGGATTTTTCGGTTGGAGGCTTGCTCTGCTGCAACGAGCGCAGCTTTCGAAGTTAAAACGGGGTACATAACTTTCTTTGCCGCCTGATTACTCCTTAAAGTGATGCATATATCTCCCAGGTGCGCTCTCGCTCTCGCATCTACACTTTGAATGAGCACATTTCCCGAATAGCGCGTCCTCGTCTATACAGCGAGAAAGCTAGACCTCGCTCTGCAGTGACATTTCTGACGGCATCCCTTCGTTAATCCCACCGATCCCGAAGGAATTGTTAGTTTTGTGAAGTAGGGTAGTTCCCGAATCCGATAACTTTTGAACAGCAACAGTTCGAATGTAAAACATTGCAATTTAAAGGAAGCGCGCTGATCTCAACATCGATCGCGGTGAGTGGAAGAGTTGCGATGGTTGTAACTCCTTAACGATTAGCGTCCTAATCGTACATCTTGTGCGACGAAGCTGACACGACCGACCTCTGTAGGTATGGACCCAACAAGTTCACTCGCGGCGCGATTCCTACTAGTATGCCTTTATTCCGTGGATTGCCTTTGGGCGAATAGAGTAGAGATAGCAACCGGCGTAGACACACTCACACATCATTGGATATTGTACACAATGAGGGCATGGTGTCATTTCGTATTGTTTTCCCGCCACAAACCCTTTTTCAGGCCGAACACGGATTCAACTCATCTGAGAACACCACATGGAGGCGAATGCATGGCGCACTTTATGTCAGAAGGATTGTTCTCAAATTCCTACCAACTTTCACGACCTTGTGTTTCGTAGTAGGAGCGGTCCACTCCACAAGACACCGATGTACACTGTAAACTATTCCTCGCAGCATTTTAGGATTCATTATGAAACGGGAAATTTCAAACGATACTTGCATGCTACTTTGGCAGTATCGCAACCAAAAA